AACAGAACAGTACTAAAATAGAACAAGATGAGATATCCCTAGACATGCACAGTGGAATGAAAACAATCTACCCCCCGTAGAATAAATTACATTATAATATAATTATTATTGTCTCATGGAAACAGGTCTAGCAATAACTGAACAGTACTAAAAAGAGAACAAGATGAGATATCCCTAGACATGGACAGTGGAATGAAAACAATCTACCCCCGTAGAATAAATTACATTATAATATAATTATTATTGTCTCATGGAAACAGGTCTAGCAATAACTGAACAGTACTAAAAAGAGAACAAGATGAGATATCCCTAGACATGGACAGTGGAATGAAAACAATCTACCCCCGTAGAATAAATTACATTATAATATAATTATTATTGTCTCATGGAAACAGGTCTAGCAATAACTGAACAGTACTAAAAAGAGAACAAGATGAGATATCCCTAGACATGGACAGTGGAATGAAAACAATCTACCCCCGTAGAATAAATTACATTATAATATAATTATTATTGTGTCATGGAATCAGGTCTAGCAATAACTGAACAGTACTAAAAAGAGAACAAGATGAGATATCCCTAGACATGGACAGTGGAATGAAAACAATCTACCCCCGTAGAATAAATTACATTATAATATAATTATTATTGTCTCATGGAAACAGGTCTAGCAATAACTGAACAGTACTAAAAAGAAACAAGATGAGATATCCCTAGACATGGACAGTGGAATGAAAAACAATCTACCCCCCCTCAGAGAATAAATTACATTATAATATAATTATTATTGTCTCATGGAAACAGGTCTAGCAATAACTGAACAGTACTAAAAAGAGAACAAGACGAGATATCCCTAGACATGGACAGTGGAATGAAAACAATCTACCCCCGTAGAATAAATTACATTATAATATAATTATTATTGTCTCATGGAAACAGGTCTAGCAATAACTGAACAGTACTAAAAAGAGAACAAGATGAGATATCCCTAGACATGGACAGTGGAATGAAAACAATCTACCCCGTAGAATAAATTACATTATAATATAATTATTATTGTCTCATGGAAACAGGTCTAGCAATAACTGAACAGTACTAAAAAGAGAACAAGATGAGATATCCCTAGACATGGACAGTGGAATGAAAACAATCTACCCCCATAGATTAAATTACATTATAATATAATTATTATTGCCTCATGGAAACAGGTCTAGCAATAACAAGACAGGACTAAAAAGAGATCAAGATGAGATATCCCTAGACATGGACAGTGGAATGAAAACAATCTACCCCCGTAGAATAAATTACATTATAATATAATTATTATTCCCTCATGGAAACAGGTCTAGCAATAACAAGACAGGACTAAAAAGAGAACAAGACGAGATATCCCTAGACATGGATAGTGGAATGAGAACAATCTACCCCCGTAGAATAAATTACATTATAATATAATTATTATTGCCTCATGGAAACAGGTCTAGCAATAACAAGACGGGACTAAAAAGAGAACAAGATGAGATATCCCTAGACATGGACAGTGGAATGAAAACAATCTACCCCCGTAGAATAAATTACATTATAATATAATTATTATTGTCTCATGGAAACAGGTCTAGCAATAACTGAACAGTACTAAAAAGAGAACAAGATGAGATATCCCTAGACATGGACAGTGGAATGAAAACAATCTACCCCGTAGAAATAAATTACATTATAATATAATTATTATTGTCTCATGGAAACAGGTCTAGCAATAACTGAACAGTACTAAAAAGAGAACAAGATGAGATATCCCTAGACATGGACAGTGGAATGAAAAACAATCTACCCCGTAGAATAAATTACATTATAATATAATTATTATTGTCTCATGGAAACAGGTCTAGCAATAACTGAACAGTACTAAAAGAGAACAAGACGAGATATCCCCTAGACATGGACAGTGGAATGAAAACAATCTACCCCGTAGAATAAATTACATTATAATATAATTATTATTATCTCATGGAAACAGGTCTAGCAATAACTGAACAGTACTAAAAAGAGAACAAGATGAGATATCCCTAGACATGGACAGTGGAATGAGAACAATCTACCCCCGTAGAATAAATTACATTATAATATAATTATTATTGTCTCATGGAAACAGGTCTAGCAATAACTGAACAGTACTAAAAAGAGAACAAGACGAGATATCCCTAGACATGGACAGTGGAATGAGAACAATCTACTCTTGAGGATTTTTATACTACCGTTTCGATAGCCATGACTGCTTGATAACTATGCAGCTAGTGCAGTGATGACATAACATAGGAAGATAGAGAGTTTCCTTGACTGAAGTTAGCTCTATTAATAGCCAAAGCAGGTTGTTCTCTTGGTGGAATCAATGACCATTATACCAAGTGGTATTTCTCTCATCTTCTATGAGAAGAATATCACTAAAAAAGAATTTCTAACATTCTATATAATAACTTCACCATCAAATATGGATTGATTCACTTTTGCAGGTTATTTCAAGCCAGAAAATGTTTTTTTTTAGTTTGTAAGAATATTTGGCGATAACAATGACTTTTACTGATACAAGTCCTACTAATTAACCTATACCTAGTTGACTGGAATTGTAACATGGCTCTCTGATTTCCGATTTTGAGCCATTGTTTATTACACCACCTGCACATCCAAGCTTACAGCACCTTGTATTCACTAGCAGCCACCCATTTAAATACTGACCAGGCTTGATGTTGCTGAACTTCAGTGATCACATGAGAACCAGTGTTTTAATGTGATATCACTATAAGCCCATCAAATATGGAGTGAAGTGACCTTGAAAAGTCTAGAATAGGAGACCCTAAAATTTTAGACCATTGGCTCCTTCAAAGAGTCATTGATCCTTCATTGACCAGTAACAATATAGAAAAAAATATCAATAATTATTTTTATTTAAGGGTAGAAAATTCTTTTTGCCTTTTCCTTCCTCATTGCTTTTTGATAAGATTCATTTTAGTTTTATGTTTTGTTATTCCATTTTCAATTTCTTTTTCTCTTGCTTTACCAGATGTATTTATTAGAAAAAGATGACGACCCCTGTTCTTTTTTTATTTAAGGGTAAATTGTTCTGGTGAGCTTTCCTCTTCGGTACCTAGACTTTATAAATTTAAGCACAGTACTAGATTGGCAGGTAGGTCTCATCATTTCACATTATTTGAAATGGCTAGATGTAACTGTAAGTTTTATGTTAACAGTTTCTTCTCTTGGACTTCTTATTTTCCGGTCAGCTTTGATCTTCAAAAATTTAAACACAATATCATAAGTTATCACCCATCATCTTAATTCCTGTTCTTTTATTGTTCTCTCTCTCTAATGATGTTTCCTTTTTCTCTTATTCTCTCACACCCAGTAAACTCTTGCATCTTAGTAGCTATATTTCTTTGCTTGGAGAAGAATGATAAAAAAAACAAAAAAACAAACTAAAAAGACTTATTTAAGCTTAATGCCTTTTTTATTCCTTTTTCAATTTCTCTTCCTATACTAGATGTGTTTGAATACAACCACCATGAATAATATAGATATTGATAACATTATTTACATTATTTGGACTATTGTCCTCATCTTTGTCGCCATATTTATTACAACATTTCGGCCGTTGTATGCCTTCTTCAGGTAGTTGGAATGTTGAACTGAACCCTTTATTTCGCTCACTGGGTAGACTGTTCTAGTTCCATGTGCCATGTTTAATGGATGTCAGTTATCAGTTATCTCCTGTTAATTCCCCTCTCCAAGTTCTCCACTGCTTTAACCGGGTATTGAACTCACACTCAAGGACACATGGCACAGTGGATAAAAGCATTGGTTAGATCCAGTGACAGGATCCAAAGAGTGTGAGTTCAATACTTTGAATTTATTGAAGCCACAGGTATTTCTCAACTCTATTTTGAACTCCAGCCATTTATTGACCTCTTTATTGATCCCCTTTTGAAACCCTGAAAAATTTATTGAGCCCCTTTTGACCTCTTCCAAGAATTTAATACCAGACTCCCAGCATTTATTGGTCCCTTTTGAAAGCCAAGGAATTTATTGACCCACAGATGTGGATATTAGCCACTATGGAGAACCCTAGATTAGAGTAATGCTACAGTGTTGGATTTGATTTTTTGCAACTTTTAGTTCTGGTAGCTTTAATGTAAATGTAGCTGTCCTTCCCAAGGTGAAACGGGTGTGAGTTCAAGTCTTGCTAAAATGTTATTCTTCATTTCTGATCTACACTATTTACTGATGGACAGTCTGAATAGATATGACGGTAAGCAAGCAAAATTAAAAATTTGAGGAAATAACAATCAAATATTAATAATGGCTGACAATGCTTCATCGATACTATTATTACTCTTACTAATGCTCCTACTTATGATGCTGCTACTAGAACTAATTCTACTACTTATGCTGCTGCTACTACAACTGATGCTCCTACTTATGCTGCTGCTACTAGAACTAATTTTACTACTTATGCTGCTGCTGCTCCTACTTATGCTGCTACTAGAACTAATTTTACTACTTATGCTGCTGCTACTAGAACTAATTTTACTACTTATGCTGCTGCTGCTCCTACTTATGCTGCTGCTACTAGAACTAATTCTATTACTTATGATGCTGCTACTAGAACTAATTCTACTACTTATGATGCTGCTACTAGAACTAATTCTACTACTTATGCTGCTGCTACTACAACTGATGCTCCTACTTATGCTCCTGCTACTAGAACTAATTCTATTACTTATGATGCTGCTACTAGAACTAATTCTACTACTTATGCTGCTGCTACTACAACTGATGCTCCTACTTATGCTGCTGCTACTAGAACTAATTTTCCTACTTATGCTGCTGCTACCACAACTAAGGCTTCTACTTATGCTGCTACTACCACAACTAAGTCTCCTACTAATGCAGCTACTACTACTACAAATGTAAGGATTTTTATAAACAATCATCATTATAATACTTACCTTCCTTACTTTCCACTTGCTTTTTCCAGACTTTGTACTCATCAAAAGGAGAAAAACGTAGAAACCTATGTAGAAATTTGAAAATTATTATAAAATCTAACAAGTTTTCTTTCAATTGCAAAAGATATTAAAAAGGAAACTGCTCTAAAAAAAAAAAAAAAAAAAAGTAGTTACCATATTTCCAGGAATGTAAGGCACAGGTGGGGGAAAAATATACAGCAAAAATGGAACATCATAGTGCAATTGTTCTTCACAGAATACTGTTAAAATATTCTAATTTGAATGAAGCAATTTCTATTACTATTGAGCTACTAGTTTCTAAGTAATTCTACAATCAATTAAATATAAATCACATAAAAAAACGTCTGTTCAAGAGAGAGAACTTCAGGTCTATTAATTGCTGATTACAAAGACACTTACATTTTTCTTTAAAAAAAAAAAAAAAAAAAAAAAAAAGGAATAAACATAGAAGAATCCTTGAAGCTTAGCATTTGCAAATGAATTAAATAATGGCCGAGAAGGTTAAAGTTGACATTTGAAGGAATTTGAATAAAGCAAATGAATCCACCTGATTAAGGAAAACATATCCAGAAGTTTATTTTGAATTGGAGTTCCAGTAACTGCCCATCTTGTGTTGGCACGTAAACGACATATGGCCATGGCACAAAGGCTCTTATGATTGCGAATGTCATGAGCTTCATCAAGAATAATTCGATTCCATATAATTTTCAACAGCAAAGGAAGTTGGCTCACATCCTCCTCCTAAGAAAAAAAAAGAAAAAAAAAAAGGTGAAGGTGGCTTGCATTTGATCATACTGTTTCTTCAGCATAGAGCGATCTTGATGAAAGAGGTGTAAATGTGCCAAAACAAACCAAACAATTATCAACAATTTAATTAAAGGTGAAATGCAAAAATTGTACAACAGCTATGAGGCTGTTTTGTCCCAATTACCCTTTTCTACACTTGAGTCACTGAGAGATGTCTATTTGTTAAGTAATGCTATGGAAAGAAACATCTTGTTTTTGAGAAAAAAGAGGCAAGGATTAAAGAAAAAAAAAGTAAAAATATAGAACAAGAACAATTCCACATTTTGATTCCATACCTTTTTTTCCAATTCCTCAAGAGGAAGATCTGCAAATTTGCTATCTTCTTTTCTACTAATCTCAGTACTTACAATCTTGTAAGTGGTTAGTACGACATCATACTGAGCCAGACTGAAAATATGAAATGCTTATGTTAACAATACAGAACATTTATGATAAATATAGCAAAACACCAAAACTAATAACACTGACTGGCCGACATGTTTTGATGCAAGCCAGCTTATACATTTTATGAATTAATTTCTGGAAGCAGAGTCAAAAAATCAAGTCCATATTTACTGGTGAGCTATAACAGGACTAGAAAATTTTAAAACAATATTATTATTTGTTACAGTTTATCAACCCTTTTTGGATTATTTAAAGTCGAAACATTTTGGATTGCAAGAATCATTTTTTTGCAAGTCAATATTGCATTAACTTATTAAGAATAACATTTTCTAGATACTAATTCTATTATTTAATCCATAGCTGGTTTTCCCAAGAAACAAAAATGATTATTTATAGCCACATTTAAAAAGAAAAATGAGTATTTATAGTCAAATTTCCAATAATGTTTAAATTAATTCTGAATGCCTCCTGCAAAAAGAAGAAACAAAAAAATGAACATTATTGAATTTCTGATTGCTCAAAAAACTGTTTTTTATATTATGATACTGACTGATATCAGTGTAATTGTATTGTTCTAAGTTATGAATGAAAACATTATCAAGTCCTTTGTTATAATGCCTGATGATAATGACAGTATAATTGTAATGTTCTAAGTTATGAATGGAAACATTATCATGCTTATGGATATAATATACCTAATGATAATGATAGTGTAACTGTATTATCAAGTCCTTTGTTATAATTACTTTATATTGTATGCTTCAGATATTTGGGATAGAAAATTGAGATTTTTGTTCAGTGATAGAATATAATTCTGAAGGGAATAAGTACATGGTACTTTATTTGATGTTTTAAGTGTTAAACTTCCTTACTGTTCTTTCATCTCTAAATTTACTTGAATAACATGTTCAAAGGCTCTCTTTGTCATGATTTGCAAAGTTATAATAATCCACTGTTCTGCTCAAAATCATAGAAAAATGCATAAAATCATTCGGGTTCAAATCATTTTAAAAGTATATTATGTAAAATTTTATGAAAGAGAGAAATGTGTTTAACGTTTTTTGCGGGGAACTTTGATTGGTCATTCTTAGCGCCTGTGATTATTGAAAGGACCTCTGTTTTTATTGGTGCCTATTTGGGGATATGATTTAAAAAATAAACTTCAGTACATCAAGTGAAGGGTTCATTTTAATCACTTTTTGTCTTCTATTTCTTCTGTATTTGTTTTCTATTTCACACTAATTTTGTGTTTAAACTTCAACGGAATATTGCCATCACATTTACAGTGATGTAACCCAATCATGACCATTTACTTATATAAAATACAGTATTCTGGAGCAGGAAAACTAAAGCTAATGGTGGAGAATGGAGGCTGTTTTTGGATTTAGCACCCCCCAGAATTGTTCAAGGTGAATGCTACTTTCGGATTCAGCACCCCCAAAATTGTTCAAAATGAATGCTGCTTTCAGATTCAGCACCCCCAAAATTGTTCAAAATGAATGCTACTTTCAGATTCAGCACCCCCAAAATTGTTCAAAATTAGCCAAAATATCCTGTGTACAATTAAAAAAAAAACTTTTTGCAGGTCTGTGCAATTTTTGATACAGAAAGAAATAATATGCAGGGAGGAAAGTCCATAGTTCCGTGGTGAAAAAAAAAAAGCATTAACAGAACAAACATTTTTCAAAATAAACTCTTTGTCAAGGCACTTAATTCAGTGCTAAAGATTAATCATTTGCATTAGTAGTTACTAACATTTGTTTTTACTTCAAATCCAATATGTTTCCTGTTTAGGATTGGATTTCTGATTCCTTCTAAAGTATTTTCATTCTCTTTCTCCCCCAGCAGCCCCTTGTGTCTTAGTGACATTGTCGACTTGCTTGGGGTGAATTGATAAGAATAATATTACAAACTCTCAACAGCTAACAACATTTTCAGATTGAATTGAGTCTTAACAATTTAATTAAAAGTCTTAAGGCCAGCCTATTCTGATCCCTAGAAATGATTTAGAGCCTTCTCTTGAAAATCGAAACCTTCCCAACCCTGATATTTGTCAAACATAATATAATGAACATTTCAGACCAATAGTCATGCCAGACTACAGATTTATTGATCTTCCTTTGTAAATGACAATTTTATTTTTCTATTTCATTTTATTTTCTGACAACAAAATAAAAAATTGGACAAATCTACCATAACTCTCTTAACATTTAAGAGTCTTCAATTGTTAAATCGCTGAAGTCCTGACTGAATTGTTGAAGAATCTGAAATATGTGATATTAGTGCAATTAAACAGATATATCTTAAAAGCCATTGAAAGTCAATTGTTACAAGTTTATTTTATATATAAGTAAATTGATTTATCTTTTTTAAATGATAGCAAATTTAGCCTCCTTGGTATTACTGGTTAAGGATTGCTTTGAAATGCCAATGCATATCACCTGAAGAAGGCCGAAGCATACAATGGCTGAAACATTGTGACTATGACAATAAAAAGATACAACAGTCCAAACAGTGTAAATCATATTGGGATTGTTGGGTACTTGCTCCCTTTCATCTGTGTTGTGTTTGTGGGAACGTATTGTCCTTCATAATAGCTCCCAAGTGTATGATGGTGGTGCATGAAGAAAAGGAAAGCCATCACTATGGAAGTGAAATTTGACTTTGTTTTGCACTCTGAAAAGGAAGGAACATCAACAAGCAATGATTAGATGCTTCAATTTCTATATAATCTTTATAAAATTTTTTTCAAAATTTTGAGAATATTTTTCCTAACCAGGCAGCCTGACTTCAGCCACTTACCCACTGCCATAATGTAGCTTTGCTGTATGATTTTTATAAATACTTTCATGGTAATTGTTCTGATGAACTTTGCTCTATGGTAGCTAGACTTTATGAATTCAAGTGCAGTACTAGATCGACTGAGAACACTGAGAACTGAGTTTGAATTCCAGTCGAGTTCGTCAAATTCATTTATGCACAAATACCTTCAGGAGAGGTATGAATACATCTCTTCTCCCCCTAGCTATGGGTTGAATAACAGGGCAGACTGGGTTCTTTAGCATTAGTTGGCAACCAGTCTACTGCAGAGAGAAATGGCAACCTACTGCGGAAAAAAATCTGCCTTGTCAGTCATGTATCAAAAGATACATCATTGCCTAAGCATGTATCACGTATGGCACATAAAGGAATGACCAGATTGGCAACTAGGTCTCATCATTTTACAGTTGAATTGTCTTGATATAATGATAAGTTCTATGCTAACAGTTTCTTTTCTTACATTTCTCACCTGTGGAAGGGTTTTCTGGTTCCGTGCTTTCCAGCCAACTCTTTTCTTCAAAATTTTAAATGTCAATCATTATTTACTGTTTTCTTGATTCCTCTTCTTTTATTGTTCTCATTCCGTAATAATGTTTATTTTTATTTTATCCTTTCACACTAAGTAAACCCTTGTGTCCTAGTGGCTTTATTGCCTTGCTTGGGGTGGAAAGAGAAAAAGAAAAAAACAATAAGCAGCAAAATATTGAGAAACTCTTTTGACCGATACTCACAGAGAAACATCTTTCACTCTGTTTGGTCCATGGTAGACTAATACACGTAGCATTTTATGCCGACATCGGTTGCTGATTTCACCGTTCCACTGGTGAATTAGTGAAGCAGGTGTAATGATGAGTGTTGCTGGTGACTTAATCGCAGGTTTATCTGCAGAAAAAGTGAGAGTAAATTGTAACACCTGTCTATTGTTAAAGTTCTCTAATATATAAAAGCCTATAGTTAAAACGAGCACAAAAAAAAAAAAAAAATTTATCTAAACCATAAGTTGGCTCCTATATGATCACCAAAGTTAAGCAACGTTGACCCTGGTCATTATCTAGGTGGATGACTTCTTGGGAATACCAGATGTGTAGATTTGAATGTTGTATAATGGATAATGGCTTGGAATTGTTAATTAGCCGAGTACCAATTCTAGTTGGGTTTGTTATATTCACTTACACACAAATACTCTTGGAAAAGGTATGAATCTGCCATTCTTGCCCCCAGATATGGGTTAATTAGTAAGACTTGTATCACTTAAATGATTATTATCTTTAAAAATAAAATAAAATTACCTACAATATATTTAGATTTCAGCATTAAATGACCCATAGAGGTGTTGATATTCCATTAAACAAAGACAAGTAAGCAACATAAACTTCTATTCTAATAGCTTCTTTTCTCACACTTCTCAATATTTTTCCACACAGTCCCCTTAAAATCAGAAATGTTTTAATGAGGTCACCGTGTCTCCAATTAAAATTGGAAACGTTTCAACGAAGACACAGTGTCCCCAATCACTAATCACAGATGAAGAGATTAGTTGTTTTACTTTACCGACCTATCAATTTGTATCAGCTATTTAATGCTGTAATCTAAATATTTTGTAAACAATTTTATTTATGAATTTTTTGGAGAATAATGGTTTCAGAGATAAAAGTGTTACTAATTAACCCATAGCTTGAGGAAGACGAGGTGGATTCAACATGATGTGGTTGTAAGCTTACAGATGAAGAGGAGACTTGAAGCAATAGAAATGTGATTCCACAGAAGGATGCTGAGAATACTATGGATGAACATGTGAGAAATGGCAAAGTTTTAAGGAAAATGGAAACAAAAAGAGATTTACAATCATAAAGAGATAGTTAAAAGAGAGACAATGAGGAAAGTGGGTTTGGAGAATTTGATACTCATAGGACATATTGAATAAAAGAGAGTAGTGGAAAGCAGTGTGTAACTAACCATATGAGCTTGTGTAAATGGTTGGCAGAATAGTGATTAGGAGAGATAGTAAAAAAGTAAATATTGGTATGAACTAAAAATGATGGGAAGTTGTGGAGAGTCATAATCTTCCACATAAAAGAATAATCTGATAACTACAAGCCTCAACAAATAAACTATTTGCTGTTTCTACAAGAGTTGGTTGGTTGTTCTGAAAGTCGCTTCCTCTATTTTTCTTATATAATTTTTCTCCTTTGCTCCTGGGGATGTTTTAACCAGCAAGACTTCATCAGATCAAAAACAAACTTTGGTGAGAAACACTGACTGGTGGGGTGAGACAACAGCATGAGGAAACTAGAATGGGTGAGCATTATATTTGGACAGATAAAGACAAAATATAGACTCATATAAAATTTATTTTAAATCATATTATAATCCTGCTTATTCTTCCCTTAGTAAGTAAGCATGTGTGTTACACACTGTCATTACTGCAGATAAATAATGAACCATTTTCTTTTGATTGCAATGAAAGATGGGGAAGGAAGGAAAGAAAAGATAAAAGCAGTGATAGTGCTCTTATGCATTTAACATCTGCTTCTGTGAAATGGAAAATGTTGTCACTTTTAAATCCTTTCATTTGTACCCTCTTACTTCTTTAAATAACGACCTGCATTTATACTTACAATTGTTACTGTAATATTTTGTTAAAGTTGTTAAGCTCAAATATTTAACAATCAACAGGAAATTTCCATAGGTATTTTATATTTATGGACTGATTGATTTGTTTTTTTATGGCTTTCAAACTAAATAATAATGATTTACTGATACATGATATACTAATTAACCTATACCTGGGGGAGAAGATGTGGATTCATACACACTGGATACTGTCAATTATCTGGAAGAATTTTTGTCATCAAACTGTAAGGAAAGCCTTTAAACATATCCATCATAATTGTTTATGCATCAAGAGCACATAGTACAGAAGAAATTGAAATATTTTACTCTACGCTAGACAACAGCAAGGCTCAATGCAAATCACAGGAAATTAGGATTGGTATGGGATACCCAAATGCCAAAATAGGCAAAGGGAAATTTCCATGGGTATTTTATATTTATAGACTGATTGATTTGTTGTCTTTTCAGTTTTCAAACTAAATAATAATGATTTAGTGATACAAGTCCTACTAATTAACCCATAGTTGGGGGAGAAGAGGTGGATTGATACACTTCCTAACAGTATTTGTATATAAGTGAATATAAGAAGCTGACTGGAATTGGGACTAGGCTCACTAATTTCCAGTCTGGAGCCATTATGTATTACACCATCTGCACAGACAATTTATAGTCATGGAAATTCTAGGAAAGTATTCAAATTGGAAGATGAAATTTTGCATAAAACAAAATTCTTAAGATGTGGAATATCAGAATGTTAAACCAATGTAGCCAGTTAGAAACTATAAAGCAGTTAATGAACAGGTTAAATGTTCGTATTTTAGGTGTATGTGATAATGAGGTGGGTAAACCAGAGAGATTTCATCAGTAACAAACACAAAATTATGTAAGCAGGCAGAGAGAAAAATGAAAGAGAAGTAGGACTGATATTAGACCAAGACATGATGAAATGCGTTCTGGATAGTGTCCACTATTTGTCATTAAACTGAAAGGAAATCCTTTAAACATTTCCATCATGATTGTTTATGCATCGACAGCGCATATACAGAAGAAATTGAAATATTTTACTCAATGCTAGACAACACCAAAGCTGAATGCAAATCACAGGAAATTAGAATTGTGCATGGGAGACCTGAATGCCAAAGTAGGCAAGGAGAGTGATATGGTGATTGCTAGTAAACTATAATTGTTTTTTTTAAATTGGTGCATTAAAGATGAGAAATTGATGATGAGAATGTCAAAAAACCTTTCTTCTGAGGTAAATAGCTTGTGATTTCTCTTTCTGCGCAACTGATGACTGTTGATTTGAGTTGAATAAAGGCTTTACACCCACCTTTTCCTAACCATTTAGGAGCTTTCGTTGTTTCATCTGATTGTTGCTTTTGTGTAAGAATTAAAGATATCATTGTCAATGTTTTTCCCAGGCCCATGTCGTCAGCTGAAAGACAGAAAAATAAAATTGTCATCAAAGATCAAAGACGCATGGAATCTGCCACATTCGTCATTATAACAAATACAGGGTGAAATGGGTAAATTGTCGCCATTTTATATTTTTAATTTTGTGATTGCACATTGTTTGTGATTTTGTCAACTGCATAGTATAGCAGGGTCAGTTGGGCACCATCTGTGAGAAAAAGAACATGACACAATTCACTCCACCAGAAATTTGGAAATTGCATGCTGTACTGCCTATTATTTGTGCTGGAAGCTCCAATATGAACATTTCAGAATGTTTGGGTGTCAATATGACGACAGTGCAGAGGATTCGGAAAAAGTTGGAGGAGTCTAATGGTGATTACGAGGATACGGCAGCTCAGAAAAGTGACATGGATCATTTCTTATAAGAAAAGAACTCCTGAATTTATTGATGAGAGCTCAAACTCAACATGGAGGCCTTGAAGAGGTAGTACTACCCTGGGTCAAGAGGGTGGTTGCTGAAAGATCCTATGTCTGCAAGCAGATCTCTGCACCATTCCACACAAGCAGAAGAACACAGTCATGGCTGTCAGATAATTTCTGTGACCACATCACCCCTTGAATTTGGCCACCTGACTGCCCAGACTGCAACCCTCTTGAATATTACATGTGGGACACAGTTGAGCGATAGACCAACAAAATTCCTTGTAATACCAAAGATGAACTGAAGGCAAGGATTATAGCAGCATTTGCCAACTTAAACAAGAAGACCGTCTGGAAAAGTTGCAGGAGATTCTGAAGTCATCTGAAAGCCATGATTGAAGCCAATGGTGATTTTATTGAATAAATTTACTCTTCAGTATTTAAAATTTTTTTTTGAAATTTTGGTAAATTATTTGAGTAAAAAATTAAAGGAATCATAGTGCTCTCTGCATCATTCTAAATAACTTACAAATTTAAAGTACAACCGAACTGCCATTTGTCTACATTTAGTGAAAATCTCATAAAAATTGGACTTATATTTTAATTTTTGTTCCTTAATTTTGGACGCTACCGTATATCTGTTAAAATGAGATGTTAGTGTTATTTTCACTTTTGCGTAATTTAGACAAAAATTTATTCATTACACCCTATATTCAATGTTTTTTGTTTTATACAAGGTGTGACAGGAGTATCTCGCACATAATGGTAAGACATTAGCTAGATAAAGACGCTATCGCCACTAATGTCTTACCGTTATGTGGGAGGTATATGTGGAATGTATTTCTGGGATGTATATATGGGATGTATTTCTGCCACACCCTTTATTTCTCAAGTGGAAATTATATATAAATAAAACAAACTAAATGGCATTATTATTTGCAAGTCTAATGGCGAACCGGAAATTTTACTTTATCACTTTTAGGAGCTTTTTATTAGAAAAAAACTGTACAGGAACATGTAATAATTCAAGAAATACATCCTAAATTCATCATTGTCTAGTGGCTGTGTGGAGGCTAAGAGAAAATTTATCTCCTTGTGACCATATAGAGACTAATGGCAAATTTGGCTATACTAGTGATGAGAGCTAACAGAAAATAACAATACCACCAGTGTCTACAACTTCTTCTGGCTCTTGTGATGACAGAGACTAATAGCAACTTCTGCAGGCTCTAGTGTCTGTGTGAAGGCCAACAGAAATTTCAGCTGCCACCTGTGACAACACAGAGGCTAATAATTAATTGTGCTCCCTCCCGTATCTGTCTGAAGGCTAACAGTAGATTCTGCTGCCACTTGTGACAATAAATTCTAGGACACATAATGAGGAAAGAGGATTTGGAGAATTTTCACTCACAAGACATATTGAAGGGCAAAGGAAAAACAGCAAATTACCTACCTAACAAACTTGTATATATGGTTGGCAGAACAGGGATTAGGAGAAATAGCTACAAAGAATAAAAAGCTCTGGAGAGTTATGATAATCTTCATCCTAAAGGGACATGGAATATAGATTGTTTTTATTGCCTTTTTCCTTGTTTGTATATTTACAGTAATGCTTTTAATGTAATGTGGATTTGGTATGACTATTTCTAACTGAACAGGTAAAAAATGTACTGATCTCTTATGCAATATCAGTCCACTTATATACTTGTGACGACACAAAGGCCGACAGTAAATTCTGCTGCCACTTGTGCCCACACAGAGGCCAACAGTAAATTCTGTTACCACTTGTGCCTACACAGAGGCCAACAGTAAATTCTGCTGCCACTTGAGCCCACACAGAGGCCAACAGTAAATTCTGTTACCACTTGAGCCCACACAGAGGCCAACAGTAAATTCTGTTACCACTTGTGCCTACACAGAGGCCAACAGTAAATTCTGCTGCCACTTGTGCCCACACAGAGGCCAACAGTAAATTCTGTTACCACTTGTGCCTACACAGAGGCCAACAGTAAATTCTGCTGCCACTTGTGCCCACACAGAGGCCAACAGTATATTCTGCTGCCACTTGTGCCCACACAGAGGCCAACAGTATATTCTGCTGCCACTTGTGCCCACACAGAGGCCAACAGTAAATTCTGCTGCCATTCGTGACTACACAGATGTCAACAGTAAATTCTTCTACTGCCAGTGACTACACAGAAGCCGACAGTAAATTCTGCTGCCACTCGTGACTACACAGAAATCGACAGTAAATTCTTCTGCCGTTCATGACTACACAGAGGTCAACTGTAAATTCTTCTACTGCTAGTGACTACACAGAGGCTAACAGTAAATTCTGCTCACTCCAAATCTCTGCGTGAAAGCTAACAGAAAATTTTACTCCCTTTTTGGACCGCATAAAAACTCGCATTCAGATTCTGCTCTCTTTAATGGCTGTGTAAGAAATAAAAGCAAATTCTTACTGCAGGGGAAAAATTAAACAATCTGCATACAATGCATTACTATCTATTAGTTTGGATAAAAAAAATTAAAGCTCTTTTTATTGATTGATGGCATTAGGAGAATTTAGTTTCAAGTAACTTCATTCAAAAAGATCATTTTTAACAGTATTTTGTGAGTTTCCAAATCAGTATGCATTTTTAATGTTTTGACCACAAAGATTCTTTTGTCAGATGACGACATTTGCAATGATCAGTTTTAACTAAATTCTTCAATATATATTTTTTTTATTCATTACCCAGAATTCCTCCTGATGGGACCTGATTCTCTCTCCATGTTAGCCAGGCTAAGGCCTGTTTTTGATGCTGCATCAGTGATACCTTCAGGCCTTCAGGATCTGGTAATGTATCACTTTCTTTGGGACAAGTGTCAAGTTGTCTACAAAAAAAAAAAAAAAAAAAAAGAAAGAAAAAAGAATTATTAGTCAATGTCCAAACGTAACTGTATCAGAAAATGGTAATATTAGCTGTTTCCCTACAAGGAAACATTTGGCATCCATTGACCAAGCAAGTATTGCTTTTGGTTGAAATTTATCAAATCTCACTTTTGGAACAATTTTTCAGGAAAATAGGTTTCACCAAGTCCAATAGCTGTTATTCCTTTCAAGATGGGTGGAGGGTGGGGGGACTTCCTAACCTTTGTCATGTGGGAGGTCAACATTTTGATTATGTTGTTATTTTCTTTTCAAGTTACATGTTCTATCCATTTTAGCTGTTGCTTCTGTTGATAGTCCTCAAGTGATGTGGTTTGTTATCTGGTACAGTTCTTTCTTTGTGATTCTGTAGCACCAGTCCACAAGGTTCAAAGAATGGTGGTCTTTGCTAAGACCTTCAAGGCTTCACTTGCTCAAACCATTGATCTTAGAAAGTGATTTTATACAGCTGATAGGACTGGTAACATGCATAACATCCATATGAAAGTTTCAAGCTGATGAGTATTTAAGAACACAAGTTTTCAGGCCAATGCTTTGGTTTTATAGCAATTTGCAATGTCAGGCAAAACTACCTCTGATGCAGCCTATTCTATGTTCAATTTCTTTTTCTCTTATACTAAATTTGTTATAACTGATCTATACACTAATATATCTGAAGTGTTTTGTATTTACTAATTACACACCCTGAATCCATAAAACCTTCAGATCATAGTTTCTGTTTTGGAAAGTTTATCTTGAGTCCTATTTCTTGGAACATTTTGTACAGGATGTTGATTTTCTGTTCAAGATCATTCTTATCACAGCTATGAATACTTATGTCATCAGCATAGCATCCAACCCCCTTATCATCAGTATATTGATCTCAAGAGGGAAGGCAGAGTCATCATTTTCTCTTAGTAGATTCATTTAGGAAGTGTTATGGAATGTTTAAAAGGTCAGTGCTTATCTGTTTGTATCTATGTTTGTAAATAAGCAGGTCATAGTCACTGAAAGATTAAATAGACTAAAGTTCTCATTTCCTTGTTGTGCTTCTGATGACATTTTAAATGTTTGCATTAAGAAATTAATATATATTCTCAAAAGTGTTATTGTCTGTACAATCATATTCTTAGAGAGATAGGAAGGTGCGTTAATCTATCAGGTTGTGTGTTAGCGGAACATTTTATGCGTGCTTGGTCTTATATCGCAGACATTCTCAGTGATGAGTAGGGCTAATTCTAATTATCACTTGAATTAAAGGTCAGCACCATCTCTGCTTTCATTCCAATTCCAGATCATAGTTTCCATTTTGGAAAAGTTTTTCTTCAGTCTCATTTCTTGGAACAATTATATATCTTTTGGAAGTTTATCTTGATTTCTATTTTTTGGAACACTTGGTAGAGGATTTTCTGTTCAAGATCATTCTTATCCTAACTATGAACACCTATGTCATCAGCATAACCATGCTCAACATCAGTACCTTGTCCTCTGGGAAGGCAGAAACAAGATTGTTGTCTTCTATTGGAAGAATCATTTGGGATGTGATATGGAATGCTTAAATGGTCAGTGCTCATCTCATCACATTTTTTTCATTCCAATTCCAGATCATAGTTTCTGTTTTGGAAAAGTTTATCTTCAGTCCTGTTTCTTGGAACACTTTGTACAGGATGTCTATGCTTGGCTAACTTTTGATTTTTGACGCTTTGGTTTGAAATTCTGAGGTATATTACCTGAAGAAAGCTGGTGTGTACAATGGCAGAAGCATCAATAATCTGACAAAGATGAGGGCAACAGTTCGAACAATGATAAATATTGTAAACCATTACAATAGAAATAGAGACACATAAGTAAATATATTTAAATGTTATTATCTTTTACACACTCTATTAGTAATAAAAATGTTATATGTGTTGCTATTTAGTTCATCATCGTCATGTTGCTTGTTATAATGTTTCGGCCATTGTAACCTTTGGACTTTTTCCTCTGTCTGTTGTCTTAGAATTTTAAACTAAACATTTATACAGTCCAGAAGATGAATTGTTCACATTTAACTTTCCATGTTTAGGGGAGATAACTCGTAAGATTTAATCAGTTCATAAGGGGAGATAACTCGTATCATTTAATACTCACTAGTATTATTGCACTTTGTGTCACTTGTCTGATTCTTCTGCTGAACAACAGAATTTGACTATTCAGCACTACCTGAGCCAGGGATTGAACTCCCTCTTACACACATACATACACAAAGCATATTATTTTTACTTACTTGTGCAATGAATCTATAACACTTTTCATGGCCCCACGAACAGCTTCAAGTCGTTTGACAGTCATACGGCCACCATACAATGTTCTTTGTTGATTATATCCTGCACATACAAAAAAAAAAAATTACTTTAATATAAACAATATTTTGGTAGAGTGGTCCTTACTTGAAATACAAAGTTTGTATTCAATTTTTTTTTCTTTCTAAATCATATCTCACCCATACAAGGCAATAATACAACTAAAACAAGGATTAAGGACAATAAAAGAACAGGATTAAGAAAGACATTCAATGGTGATTTACATTGCATTTGTTTGTGTTTTATGGCATATCAACCTCATTGAGTTATTTAATGCCAACAATAGATATCCAGTCCTTGATAACTAGATAGATAGCTTGTCATTCATACTTCGATATAAAGATATATATGTTGATATTTACACCTTGACAAACAGATAAATAACTTGAAAATCACACTTCGACATATAGATAGATATTCTGATATTCCGGCCTTAGAGGCTCTTGCAAGTACTTTAGCAGAGCTTAATCGTGGCATTGAATTTTGTCAAGCATCTTGAGATATATAGTAGAGCACCAGACATGATATGTCAGCAATATGCACAGGTGAATGGTAGATTTATAAATGTGCAAGATGGATTCTGGTGAGAAAAAAAAAATGTCTGGCACAATAAAGTGAACCAACTTTACCTGCTTAGGTACAGGTCTCACCTGTGGTTTATACTGCAACTATGCTGAGCTGACCATAGTTACAGTTTCTGGGAGAAAGATTGCCTGATCAACAGTTTGAACAAGGCCAGTTCATTCAAAGTTTCAGCCATAATGACTTGTGACATTTTGCTAACATCAATGAACAATTTCATCTACCAATTTTCCTTGGTTTAGGTTGGTTAGTTTAGTAACATAAAAAAGGTCTGGTTTACATGAGAGATAAAAATGTAAACACAAGGCATATTTGTCCCAAAATCTGCAAATATCAATCTGGAATGTGGCTGCTTGAATGAGGGTCTTATCTCTCTTCAGGAGATGATGTCAGCACATTCTAAGTCCTGTCAACAATGCAATCTGTAAGAATGACGCTGGACATAACAGGTAAAAAATTAAACATATGACTTTTTTTTGACATCCCTGCAAGTTTACCAATTCAGTTAGCACCTCAAGATGAGGATATTGGTTCCAGTAAATCAAAGGATGATAAAGTGACCAAAATGTGTAAAATTCTAGCCAAAGAATATGATCAAGACATGCAAAGTTGGAATTAAAACAAGCAAATCACAAACATAGTTTTTTTTAACAGAAAGACTTTTCAAGAAGTTGAGTTTAAATGAAAGAGCGAAAAAAAAAGAAGAAAAAAAAAAAAAGAAAAAGAATTTTACTTTCTATTTGCTTCTCACGTTCTTTTTGGTCGTCATAATCCTTAAACCATAACTTGGTTTGTGCTAACAGATCTGGATTGTGTGGTACATGTGATTTGTGAATTTTGTAATTGTTATCAATCCATTCTTTTACACTCTTTGGAGGATCAACTGTAAAAAATAAAATTTCGTTTACATGAAAGATTATTTAGAAAAATATATTTTACTAGCTGTGATACTATGAAAAGCCAGAGAGAAAGGGAAGAGGTGGGGAATGGGAAATAAAGGGCATTTTAGGGATCAAGTGGCAACAAAACCGGAAATGGGTATATCCGGGTGTTGGTCTATATTAACAGTCATACTTGGAATCAGAGAAAGTTCGGGTCTGCCAGGAGACAGATATGTGTGTTAAGCATTTTCAAAGCTTTCATTTTGTATTGCCAGCCACCACACATTGGGATGAGTAGATTGGTGAGTTTGTAGGGGTTAAGAGCTGACATAGCAGTTGTTCCAAGTATCCTTTACCTACCTATCCAAATGAGCAGGTGAAGCCCTGAATAAAACACCTACACATAATATGGGAAACAGGTTTCTTGTTCTTATTTCTTAGTATGGCGTTTCTTTCATCGTGTTACCTTGTGGTCATGTAGCATGCCTTTTCTCAGCTTTTGGTGCACACCGACAAGATTGAGAATCAGAATGCAATGTGGGATGATCATTGGCCGGATGGTGGAAAGCTTGGGAAGGGTTGTGTTGTTTATAAATAAATATCCCAAACTAAAATTTTATTTTCAATATATCTGAAAACTTTTAAAAGAGAGAACTTGACAAAACATAAAAAAATGGTACCAAATTTATCTTTGTAGTTCAATTAGCAACAAATTTATGACCATTCAAAATTCATCAGTTTGCCATCTTGTGTGCTATTGGAGAAGAAGCCAATTTCAGCTGTGTATACCTGAAGATGCAGGCTTCAAACTAATTAAAATAATTATAAATGGCATATAGTCAGGCTTGAAGTAAAAGAAATATAATACAAATGGAATCAATAATTTTGGGATCAGATCAGACTAAACATGAGAAAAAAAATTACATTCTTAAAAACAATAGTTTAGACCTGATATAGAAGGGCACATTTGACTGTTCATATAAATTTCATTTCAACAAATAATGCCTTGAAACTTCTTGTGATGAATAAGTACTTCATGCAGTTTTAAAATTGCATCTTAAAGAAAATATAAGAAAAATATTTTATCTATCTAATATCTATCAATGAAACAAGTGATTTAAAATGGTTGGTTGGTTGTTTTATGGCATATCAACCACTGTAGGTCATTTAATGCCAAATTTAGTATTATATATATATATATATATATATATATATATATATATATATATATATATAGTACTATTAAACGTATAGCTGGCAACATTATTTTTTCAAAAACATATTATGACTTTAAATGGGGTTCAACTGTTGATATTCATTCATTCAGTTAGCAATACAAATTGTGATGAGTCCCAAGTGTTTTTTTTTAACAAAATGAATGCAGTATAACCTCTTTTTGAATCATGTGCACCTTGATTTGTATGGATGCAGAGTTATAAAACCAACTGATTATTAAAAACAAGAAATCCTAATAATATAAAATATTAAAACTGATCCACAAAGAGAGCTCAATGTATTTATTACAGAGCATATATAAATAAATTACATGTAAGAGAAATTCAAAAATACCCCATATGTATAGCTATTTCTCCCCACAAGAATTACTTTGTAAGGATTTTCAACAGCCAAGGGTTTAGGGATCTCCAAACCCCTTGATGTTGACAATCCTTGTAAGGTAATTCTTGTGGGGAGAAATAGCTATACATCTGGTGTATTTTTGAATCTCTCTAAAATGACTATCATCGTACAACAAGTAGAAGAAAAAAAAAGTTTATGATCACCTTCCTGTGTGGTTGGTTTGTGAATTGGGTTTTGTCCAGACGCAGCAGGAGGGAACACTTCGACAACTTCAGGCACTGCCATTAAGAAGAGAACATTAAATACAAAAAATAAATTCAAAGCAATGACCTATTACCAACAAGCATGCAGCACTTTGATTTGAGTGCTAAAGCATTACGCAACTTAATTTGAATGCTATGCCATATATGATCATAATTTGAATACTACAGCATGAATGACCTTAATTTGAATGTTATAGAATGAAGCACCTTAACTTGAATGTTATAGAATGAAGCACCTTCAACTGAATGCTAGAGTATGCAACAAGTTAATTTGAATGTTACAGCATGCAGCACATTAAATTGAATGCACAGCAAGTAACACCTTAATTTGAATGTTACAGCATGCAGCAACTTAATTTGAATGCTAGAGCATGAAGGAGCTTAATCTGAATGTTACAACATGAAGCACCTTAATTCAAATGTGACAGCATGAAGCAACTTTATTTGCATGTTACAACAAGAAGCAATATAATTTAAATGCTACAGCATGAAGCACCTTAATTTGATTGTTACAGCATAAAGCACCTTAATTTGATTGTTACAGCATAAAGCACCTTCACTTCAATGCTAGATCAAGCAGCAACTTCAATTGAATGCTAGATTATCCAGTAAGTTCATGTGAATGTTACAGCATGCAGCACATTAAATTGAATGCTCAGCAAATAACACCTTAATTGAAGGTTACAGCATGCAGTAACTTAATTTGAATGCTAGGGCATATAGCGTCATAATTTGAATGCAACAGTATGAAGCACCTTAATTTGAATGCTATAGTATGAAGCATGTTAATTTGAATGTCACAGCATATGTCCCCTTTAATTTCATTACAGCATGTAGTATCTTAATTTGAATGTTACAGTATACAGCACATTAAATTGAATGCTTATCATGCAGCAATCTAATTTAAATGTGACTAAATGAAGCCCCTTCATTTGAACATTATGACAGGATGCATCTTAATTTGCATGTGTTAGCAGGAAGCAACTTAATTCAAATGTTGCAGCATGTAGCATATTAATTTGAATGTTTATTATGCAGCAACTTCAATTGAGTGCTAGAGTATGCAACAAGTTCATTTTAATTTTTCAGCACATTAAATTGAATGTTCTAGCAAGAAACAGCTTAATCTGAATGTTACTTTGAACACTATAGCATGAAGTTCCTTAATTTGAATGTTTAATGTTGTGTTCTGAAATAACCTTATCTATAGACTTTACAAATTTCTTTTATATTCTAGAATCTTGTCAACATTACAGAACTTAATCATTGCCATAAAAACGGGCATAATTAAAAACTCAGAAAACAAAAAAGGAAAATAAAAAATTCAGTCATTTTTTATGGCATTGGGATGCTAATAATTAATAATAATTTGGTGATCGAAAATGATCATGTCGTTTATCTTGTCAGATATCAATATCTACACAGGTTGGTCTTTGAAGCCACCAAACCAGACATCACTGTCATTGATAAAGAAACAAGACAATGACTCCTCATTGATGTGGCTGGTCCTGGTGACCATTATATAAAATTTAAAGAAATTGACAAGAAATAAATCAATTTCTGGATTAAAGTTGAGAATATTCAGGCCACCATTGTTATCATTGGAGCACTGGAACCTACACCACTGAAAAATCAGGGGGAAAAAGCCTAGTATCCCATTGCTTCAGAAGTTAGCATTGATTGGCAGTGCAAATATTCTCCCAATGGTGCTATTGGTCTAAGGTTGTATGACTTGATGGAGGACACCCATAATGCAAGATCTCTAATTGAAAACAAAAAAAAAAAAAAAAATATGCAGCAGAAAAAATATAATAATAAAACTGGTTCCACACCTCATTCTTCAGATCTTGATCAAAGTAAATAAATGTGTATAGCAATTAAAAACTAAACAAAATATAAAGACAGAAAATACACCTGCCTCAATAATATATTCAGATGGGTATATCTTTTCATAGGCAGATGATGTTAAGTCCACCCAAGCATTCCTTGTTTACATAGGAATGGCTGTTTAGTTTTAATAAAGATTGTTTCTAGGACTTTCAGATGGAAGTTAGTGTATGATCAGTATAGGGCCAAAAACATGAACATACTGAAGAATGTGGCATAGATTCTATGTTTACCAATTGCAGATCCAGAAGTGTTGACACACCTATGCAGACATTGATTTTCTTCTATAACAGTTGTCCTATTTATATAGTCAGTATTGCATTGGCATTTAGATTCATATATAAATCAACTAGATAAGCAAGACATTTTTTTTTAATTGATCTCAACATAGATCAAGAAGAGAACATGTGAGTTAGCTGCAAAAAAGAAATGCCTAACACTGGTTGGGATTTGCTTAACACCAATTTCGACAATTCACAGCAATTGGAGATATTGTTCCATTACAACAGTACAGAGCCTCTATTGTTTTATTTCCCCCTTTTTAAATTTAGGTACAGTTTAGTATTTAGTACAGTTTAGATTAGTCAACATTTTTGTAGTAATCATTGGAACAATAAAGCACATACTCAAAAGTCATGGGTCATATTTTCTTATCCTGTTAAATCTGCCCCCTACAACAGTATTGCAATAATATTGTATAAATTTAGTAGTTTTCCTGCTGTACTTCATCATTTAGCCCCAAATCAAAACAATAAAACTGGTAGACAGAAAAGGTGGCAATGACTAAAACTGATAGAAAGAAAAGGCGGCAATAAAAGTGGTAGAAAGAAAAGACAACAACACTGGCAGAAAGAACAGAAGACAATAAAACTGGTAGGAAAAAAAAACTTACATTTTCTGGTTGGAAAACTGGAAGATACAATCTGCACGTCACTGTCATTGTGGTTATTCTCTTCAGCTTCTGAAATAAACACATATAAATATAATGACATAATAATATATGTTAGTAGTATATGTCGGGCTGCTGGCATATTCCTTATTGGTGGACTGGTAGAAGCCCACTGGTGGCTGCCACCCCAGAGGGCCACTGCTGTTGCCAATGGTGGCCTGCCAGTAGGCCACTAGTGGCTTGCATGTAGGGTTGACATTGTTAATTATTAGACATTTTATTCCCAGGGATTCTCATTCATTTAATACAAAAAGTGATAAATATTCTTCTAGAGAAATACATCATTTCAACAATTTTCCACTGATATCCATCACATTTCTGGAAAAGAGAACATTGTTGCTGACGCACTTTCACATGTGTCAACTATTCAAAGAAACAAGCCATTAAATTTCAATTACATTTCGCAGGAACAATTTAAAAGGGCACAGCAATGAAAAAAATTTCTGAAAATACTTCAGTTTCATTAATAAAATTTGTTATCCTCTTTAGCGATAAGAAAATTTACTGCAATAACAGCAAAAACTATGCCTGTATTTATGTGCCATCTCCATGCTGTAAAAGAATTTTCCAGCCTTTTCAGATCCTGGAAAATGTGCACTTCTAAAACTAGTTGCTGACTGATTTTTCTGCTAATCTATGAACACCGATATTTGCACCTGGAAAACCAGTCAACAAACATATGAAAAGTAGTCATGGATCATTTTATACACCCAAGTTCCATTTTACATCTTTCCATAGTGATATTGTGGGTTCTTTAACTACTTTTATTGTGGGTACTTTAACTGGCAGTTATTCATATATTGTAACTTTTATCGACAGATTCACTCATTGGCCTTCTGTTTAAGCCATCAAAGACAACAACTTTTATGACCGATAGAGGTTCACAATTGCAGTCAGCTCTTTTTCAAGAACTTATACAGATTTTGGGAACTTTCCATATTAAAACGACTGCCTACCATCCCTCTACTTACAAACAGGTAGAAAGATTTCAACTCCAATTAACCTTTACCATGCTGCAGGTGACAATTGTCACCATAGAATTCTCTCCTTTTGCTGTTCTAGACACATTCTGTCGCCTTGAGACGGTTGCTATAAATAAACACTTGTCAACTATTATTTCCATTATTTTAAGCTGGAAATTGCCTACTACTGCTTTGGAAGAAGGTTAAACTTTCATTTTCAAATGCCATTTTGAATTTTTCTAGACTCTACACAAGGTACGACATTGATTAAACCCATGTTAATTTTTTCGTGATTTTTTGTAAACAAAAGTGGCTGTGTCAATATCCAACAAAGCCTTTATTCAGGAGTTTTCTTTGATTAACACTCTGATGATTATTTTGAAGGCTTTACTCGAGTGGATATTGACGGTGAAGTGGTTGAAGATGATAACCACACTAGTGACGTGGAGGAAAGTGATGGTGACCACTAGTAGCTACTACCATTCATGCCTGACTAATTTTATGGAAGTTACTGGTGACCATCGATATACCTGATAGCCTTTCTGAAGGTGAATTATTTTGTCTATTTATAAACAACGAAATAACTTTATTCATCAACAAGACAAATATGCATTTTTTACTATGAAAATGCATTGGCCAATGATTTTTAACATGAAAATGCATTGGCGAATTATTTTTACTATAAAAGATTTGCTTAAACTGATTTTATGTTAGATTGGTTTATTTTATAACATGTCAGTCCCTTTTCAGTTATTTAATGTCAAATTTGTATGGTGCACCTAATGATGATGAAACTCACTACTCAGTAGTAATAGTCAATGAGACGAGCCTTAGTAACCATTACCCACATGTGATGGTGCACTGGAAATTTTTTTTAAGAGTAATGTCTTGCCAGCTTATAGACATGTTGTGGTTAAAAAGAATATAAAATCCCATTTATTACCTAATTCTAATTCAGCCAGGCATTCTTCTATCTCTTTGGTCTTCTTCAAGAGTCGGGCACCATTGTCAGGCAATTGAGAAAGTTTGGTACAACTTAGTAGTTTCTAAAGGAGAAAATAAAAATAAAACAAAAACTAACAAAAAACCATAGAGAATCAATGGGTTAACAATAGTCAAGAAATGTCTTTTTTAACATATATTGATCAGGAAGAGGTACAGTGGCATAATGGAGAGTGGCTTGGATTGAGGAATCGGAGAGCTGAGTTAGAATTGCAGTTGGGTTCATTACATTGACATGTGCTAATAACTTCTCCCCTCCAGCTATAGGGTAAATAGCAGGTCAGATTGGGTGTTATAGCCTTGGTTGGAAACCAGTCTAGGTGAAGGAAAATGCTGAGCTCAAACCAACCTGGAGAGGGTTGGGCACCATAAGGGTGTCTTGTCCATGAAACACCACAGCCACTGTGTCAGCAGTAGGTGTGGTGTACCTACTACATGAAGGGTTACAGTGTGTGGTGTACCTACTACATGAAGGGACAGTATTTGTGATGATGATCAGAAAATGAAACAAGGGTCCTACTTAAATAGGCTGGTACATTCATAATATAGGGGAAGACTTTTTTTAAAAAAATAATTTTTTAATTTAGCATTCTTTAGAACTTTCTAAGGAAGCTGCTACACTTGTCAGAATTGAAAATTATGGATTAGCTATTGATTTAAAATGAAACAAGGGTCCTACTTAAATAGGCTGGTACATTCATAATATAGGGGAAGACTTTTTTTTAAAAAATAATTTTTTAATTTAGCATTCTTTAGAACTTTCTAAGGAAGCTGCTACACTTGTCAGAATTGAAAATTATGGATTAGGTATTGATTTAAAATAGGGGGTCCTGTTCATAATAGCAATACAGTGTAAAATCGACCCTTCACTTTGAAGAATTGTTGGGACTGTTCAAAACTTATTGATATATCCTTGATATATTCATATGCTTTTTTTATCTTTATTTATTTATTTTTTTTCTTTTTACAAAAAGCTTTTTCAAAAGTAAAAATAGATTTTGTCATTTTTTTTTTTTTGATTAACAAAGATGTGTCATTGAAGAACAAACAGATATATTCATTTTTAATTAAAGATCTCCAAAGAAAGATTATTTATTTTCAATGTCAAAACATGCATGCAAAACGAATGCATTACATCAGAATATTACTCACCCTTTCTTTTATTTGTGTACAAAAAATAAAATCTCTATGCGCAATATAAAGAAAGTTATAACTATTAAAACAGTAGGTGTTCATGTTTTTATGCTCTCAAAAAAAAAAAAAAAAAAAAAAATGCATTACTTTCTCCTTCAAGTCACCATAAATAACATGTGCCTTTTCACATATCGTAGTCTCTGGCAATGTACCTCCTGTGAGCTCTTTCGACTTCACCCACACTAACAGAAGTTTCTCCACTTCTTCATGGGTATTTGTCCTTAACTATGACAGAATTGTAGTTCCTTTTGCTGTTGTTGTACCTTTTATAGTGTCGTTTTGTTTAAGGGTGGTACAAATTGTAGATATACTCCGCTCGTACTGCCTTGTCAGTTAAATCACTCATACACCATATTCATGTATTTTTTATTTTTTCTTGCTTTACTTATATCATTCTCTTCTTCTCACCATTTTTCTTTGCACTCACTTTCTTTTGACTTACGATGGTACACAAAAAACAAAAAAACCTAACGTAGTTAGAAACTGTAAAAATGATGCATAGACATGTACAACGAATGAGATATGTCTTTACTGTACGGGTAACACACAAGAAAGAACGAGAAGCCCGTTGTACTGATGTTTTACCCATGTGCCAAATAGTGGCAGCTTCCTGAAGCATTACTTGTATCACAGAAATTAACTTGCATGTCAGTCAAAAAATGGCCCGAGCCTCCACTCGCATCTTAAAAAACTCATGATAAGCTACTCGTATCTCAAAGTACCACTGTATTTTATGAAATTTTTAAAAAGGTTTCTTTTCAATTTTATTTCTTTATAATAGGTAAATAATAAATATCGCATTGTACTTGGTTCACATATTTTTATGCTAAATTTTATATATTTTTATTGCAAATAAACATTGCCAAGGGAGTCAAAAAGTGTATACAGTAGTGGTGGTGTGAAAGGAATAACTATTTTGTTTCTAGTCACAAAGGTTAAACTTTACCAAATAATAATTTAAAAGAATTTTATACATGCCATCATTTTTAATGGCATGTATAAAATAGATTGATTTGATTTCTACGGCTTTTTAAGTTTAGGAGCTAATAATGGTTTAGCGAATCAAATTTTACTAATTAACCCATAGATGGTGGAAGAGGAAGTGGATTCATACTTCTCCCAAGGGTATTTGCGCATAAGTAAATATAACGAAACCAATTGGAATTGGAACTCTCGGAGCCATTATACATGATACCACCTGCACACCCAAGCTTATAGTAGCTGATATTCCCATGTGATCACCCATTTAGGTATTGACAGGCTTAACATTGCTTAACTTTAGTGATTGTATGGAAACCATTGTTTCAATATGATGTGGTTGTAAGCCTTATAAAATAGAAAAGGGATGAAAGAAAAGAAAAAAAAAAATGCTTACCTGTTGCTTTTCAAGTTGTCTTTGAAGATCTTTCTTGAGAGAGTCCTTGAACAATATTCTGTTTTCTTTGGGAGCCACTGGGCTCTCCCTCCACTGTGTGAAGCTATCATTTGCCTTTTCTTTGTTCCCCTCGTCTGCTTGGGTCTTTACAGGAAGTGTAGAAGTTTCCTTATTTGCTTCGCTAATTGATTTAAACGAAGGTGGTTCTTCTTTGCTTTGTGGTACAAATGTTTCCTGAGAAATACAAAACAACAAGGACTAATGAACCATTGATTAACAAAGGATAAACATTACAACAAATCATTTTGTCTCCTACCATAGAGATGAAACAGTTATGTTCTTTCTACCATTTGTTCTCCTACCATAGCAATAAAACAGTTATGTTCTTTCTACCATTTGGTATCCTACCATAGCAATAAAACAGTTATGTTCTTTCTACCATTTGGTATCCTACCATAGCGATAAAACAGTTATGTTCTTTCTACCATTTGGTATCCTACCATAGAGATAAAACAGTTATGTTCTTTCTACCATTTGGTCTCCTACCATAGAGATAAAACAGTTATGTTCCTTCTACCATTTGGTCTCCTACCATAGAGATAAAACAGTTATGTTCTACAAACATAAGAGTTAGGTGTTCAAGACCAGACAACAACTAGAATATCAAATACTGATCCTATAAGTAGGCACTCACATTTTCATGGATTTATGACTCATAATATTCTAGCAATTTAGATCAGATCTTTCAGTAATGGTTAGTGGAGATAGTTGACTGTTATGACAGAGTAGTGAGTTCAATTCTCAATGGAAGCTCCATACAAAAATTCAATATTAATCCAACAAGAGATAAGTAAAATCAACCAACCTTAACAAATTTCATACAAAAAACTTTTTTTTGATTTTATTTAATGGCATATCAACACCTCTATGGGTTATTTAATGCCAAAATCTAAATATTTTAAACAAAATTTTATAGATTCAACTAAATATATTCTGAACACAAGTGTATGCCTTCAACTACAGATAAAATGTATTGGACATTTTTAATTTAAAAAGGTATTGCTGGTATTTTTACTACAAACATGTATTTTTATATTTTCATAGTGTATTGTTTTTGTTTTTGTCAGTGGTCAGGAATGAATGCAAGCATTACTGATAGAATAGGGCTATTATATGTATAATGGAAATGCATTGCTAATGATTTTACTATAGGAATGCATTGCAAATGAGGAAGAAAGGGATTGTCAGGGGTCAGGAATGAATGCAAGCATTACTGATAGAATAGGGCTATTATATGTATAATGGAAATGCATTGCTAATGATTTTACTATAGGAATGCATTGCAAATGAGGAAGAAAGGGATTGTCAGTGGTCAGGAATGAATGCAAGCATTACTGATAGAATAGGGCTATTATATGTATAATGGAAATGCATTGCTAATGATTTTACTATAGGAATGCATTGCAAATGAGGAAGAAAGGGATTGTCAGTGGTCAGGAATGAATGCAAGCATTACTGATAGAATAGGGCTATTATATGTATAATGGAAATGCATTGCTAATGATTTTACTATAGGAATGCATTGTAAATGAGAAAGAAAGGGATTGTCAGTGGTCAGGAATGAATACAAGCATTACTGATAGAATAGGGCTATTATATGTATAATGGAAATGCATTGCTAATGATTTTACTATAGGAATGCATTGCAAATGAGGAAGAAAGGGATTGTCAGTGGTCAGGAATGAATGCAAGCATTACTGATAGAATAGGGCTATTATATGTATAATGGAAATGCATTGCTAATGATTTTACTATAGGAATGCATTGCAAATGAGGAAGAAAGGGATTGTCAGTGGTCAGGAATGAATGCAAGCATTACTGATAGAATAGGGCTATTATATGTATAATGGAAATGCATTGCTAATGATTTTACTATAGGAATGCATTGCAAATGAGGAAGAAAGGGATTGTCAGTGGTCAGGAATGAATGCAAGCATTACTGATAGAATAGGGCTATTATATGTATAATGGAAATGCATTGCTAATGATTTTACTATAGGAATGCATTGCAAAATGAGGAAGAAAGGGATTGTCAGTGGTCAGGAATGAATGCAAGCATTACTGATAGAATAGGGCTATTATATGTATAATGGAAATGCATTGCTAATGATTTTACTATAGGAATGCATTGTAAATGAGAAAGGAAGGGATTGTCAGTGGTCAGGAATGAATACAAGCATTACTGATAGAATAGGGCTATTATATGTATAATGGAAATGCATTGCTAATGATTTTACTATAGGAATGCATTGCAAATGAGGAAGAAAGGGATTGTCAGTGGTCAGGAATGAATGCAAGCATTACTGATAGAATAGGGCTATTATATGTATAATGGAAATGCATTGCTAATGATTTTACTATAGGAATGCATTGCAAATGAGGAAGAAAGGGATTGTCAGTGGTCAGGAATGAATGCAAGCATTACTGATAGAATAGGGCTATTATATGTATAATGGAAATGCATTGCTAATGATTTTACTATAGGAATGCATTGTAAATGAGAAAGAAAGGGATTGTCAGTGGTCAGGAATGAATGCAAGCATTACTGATAGAATAGGGCTATTATATGTATAATGGAAATGCATTGCTAATGATTTTTACTATAGGAATGCATTGCAAATGAGGAAGAAAGGGATTGTCAGTGGTCAGGAATGAATGCAAGCATTACTGATAGAATAGGGCTATTATATGTATAATGGAAATGCATTGCTAATGATTTTACTATAGGAATGCATTGTAAATGAGAAAGAAAGGGATTGTCAGTGGTCAGGAATGAATGCAAGCATTACTGATAGAATAGGGCTATTATATGTATAATGGAAATGCATTGCTAATGATTTTACTATAGGAATGCATTGCAAATGAGGAAGAAAGGGATTGTCAGTGGTCAGGAATGAATACAAGCATTACTGATAGAATAGGGCTATTATATGTATAATGGAAATGCATTGCTAATGATTTTACTATAGAAATGCATTGTAAATGAGAAACAAAGGGATTGTCAGTGGTCAGGAATGAATGCAAGCATTACTGATAGAATAGGGCTATTATATGTATAATGGAAATGCATTGCTAATGATTTTACTATAGGAATGCATTGCAAATGAGAAAGAAAGGGATTGTCAGTGGTCAGGAATGAATGCAAGCATTACTGATAGAATAGGGCTATTATATGTATAATGGAAATGCATTGCTAATGATTTTACTATAGGAATGCATTGCAAATGAGGAAGAAAGGGATTGTCAGTGGTCAGGAATGAATGCAAGCATTACTGATAGAATAGGGCTATTATATGTATAATGGAAATGCATTGCTAATGATTTTACTATAGGAATGCATTGCAAATGAGGAAGAAAGGGATTGTCAGTGGTCAGGAATGAATGCAAGCATTACTGATAGAATAGGGCTATTATATGTATAATGGAAATGCATTGCTAATGATTTTACTATAGGAATGCATTGCAAATGAGGAAGAAAGGGATTGTCAGTGGTCAGGAATGAATGCAAGCATTACTGATAGAATAGGGCTATTATATGTATAATAGAAATGCATTGCTAATGATTTTACTATAGGAATGCATTGTAAATGAGAAAGAAAGGGATTGTCAGTGGTCAGGAATGAATGCAAGCATTACTGATAGAATAGGGCTATTATATGTATAATGGAAATGCATTGCTAATGATTTTACTATAGGAATGCATTGCAAATGAGGAAGAAAGGGATTGTCAGTGGTCAGGAATGAATGCAAGCATTACTGATAGAATAGGGCTATTATATGTATAATGGAAATGCATTGCTAATGATTTTACTATAGGAATGCATTGCAAATGAGGAAGAAAGGGATTGTCAGTGGTCAGGAATGAATGCAAGCATTACTGATAGATGATTTTACTATAGGAATGCATTGTAAATGAGAAAGAAAGGGATTGTCAGTGGTCAGGAATGAATGCAAGCATTACTGATAGAATAGGGCTATTATATGTATAATGGAAATGCATTGCTAATGATTTTACTATAGGAATGCATTGCAAATGAGGAAGAAAGGGATTGTCAGTGGTCAGGAATGAATACAAGCATTACTGATAGAATAGGGCTATTATATGTATAATGGAAATGCATTGCTAATGATTTTACTATAGGAATGCATTGCAAATGAGGAAGAAAGGGATTGTCAGTGGTCAGGAATGAATGCAAGCATTACTGATAGAATAGGGCTATTATATGTATAATGGAAATGCATTGCTAATGATTTTACTATAGGAATGCATTGTAAATGAGAAAGAAAGGGATTGTCAGTGGTCAGGAATGAATACAAGCATTACTGATAGAATAGGGCTATTATATGTATAATGGAAATGCATTGCTAATGATTTTACTATAGGAATGCATTGCAAATGAGGAAGAAAGGGATTGTCAGTGGTCAGGAATGAATGCAAGCATTACTGATAGAATAGGGCTATTATATGTATAATGGAAATGCATTGCTAATGATTTTACTATAGGAATGCATTGCAAATGAGGAAGAAAGGGATTGTCAGTGGTCAGGAATGAATGCAAGCATTACTGATAGAATAGGGATATTATATGTATAATGGAAATGCATTGCTAATGATTTTACTATAGGAATGCATTGCAAAAGAGGAAGAAAGGGATTGTCAGTGGTCAGGAATGAATGCAAGCATTACTGATAGAATAGGGATATTATATGTATAATGGAAATGCATTGCTAATGATTTTACTATAGGAATGCATTACAAATGAGGAAGAAAGGGATTGTCAGTGGTCAGGAATGAATACAAGCATTACTGATAGAATAGGGCTATTATATGTATAATGGAAATGCATTGCTAATGATTTTACTATAGGAATGCATTGCAAATGAGGAAGAAAGGGATTGTCAGTGGTCAGGAATGAATGCAAGCATTACTGATAGAATAGGGCTATTATATGTATAATGAAAATGCATTGCTAATGATTTTACTATAGGAATGCATTTAAAATGAGAAAGAAAGGATTGTCAGTGGCCAGGAATGAATGCAAGCATTACTGATAGAATAGGGCTATTATATGTATAATGAAAATGCATTGCTAATGATTTTACTATAGGAATGCATTGCAAATGAGGAAGAAAGGGATTGTCAGTGGTCAGGAATGAATACAAGCATTACTGAT